AGAAAAAAAAAAAAAAAAAAAAAAAAAAAAAAAATTAAAGAACTTGTATTACCTTGCCAACAGTAACAAAGAGATTACCTGTTAGCGTTATTCAACAAGTATTCAAAGAATGAATTCAGACATTAGAGTTCAGCAGATGGCCCTGTTTTACATAGGTAAGTATTTTGTCGTGTGAAACATCAGCAATACATCCTTTAAATAATAACGCTGATATAAAGGAAATGTTAGGTTCCTGATAAACTTCTGGAGCTGGTGGAATTCTAAGCCTGTGCTTTTTGTTTTGTTCTTCCATGTAGTAAGGAAGTAGTGATGTATAATGACTCTCCACAAAATGGAAAAGTGCTTCTCTCCAGGCTGACCACCCAGAACTAAAATGCCTGTCTTTAAGCCATACCTGTAAGGCCAGCAGGATGTGGGAAACTGGGTTTGATACGATTTTTAGCCATTGTGTGACTTGGAGATCGGCTGAGTACCTACTGTTCTCCTAGGAACACTGCAGTGAGTGAAAGTGGATGTGAGAAAGGAAAGTGAACCCAAATGGGCAAAATAATGCCAAGCCTTTAGGTGCTTTACTTGCTTACAGAAGAAGATAGCCCATTTGTCTAATACGGTTGTCTCTTTGACTTTTGGAATTAATTGTGGAATGTTCCAAGACACAGGTCTTGAAAATGAGTGCATTATCTCTTAGTGACTGTCAAAGGATTGTGTTTTTAAAAAAAAAATTTTTTTTTTGGTGCTGGCGATTGAACCGGGACTTCACACGTTGTCCAATGACCTATAAAGGAAGGAAGGAAGGCAGCAGAAGTGTTTTTGTAGGAACATGCTTATGAGAGACTAGTGGAATCTTGTGTGATGTTTTAAATGTGGACACCGTGTCTCTGTATTCATCATCCTCAGGCTGGAGTGCATAGCACGCGATGCTGAGCTGGTGGATAAGTCTGTGGCCGACCTGAAGCGCCTGGGAGAGCTGATTCACAACAGCTGTGTGTCAGCAATGCAGGAGTACGAAGATCAGCTGAAAGAAAACGCTAGCGAGGGTAAGGCAGCAAGTCCTCTTGCATGGTTCTTCAAGATCAGGTTCTGTGGATGGGTTTTCTTTTCCAAAGGGCTTTTGAGAACATACTTGTACTGTACACCACGTACAGCTCATACTTTGAGGGCTGTATTCTGAGCTGCCTTTCTGTGAGCTCAGTGTTCTGAAATGCCAAAGACCAGCTACCCACACATGAAGTGGATTTGCAGAAGGTATAGATCGATGAACAAAGTGAAATGGTTTCTTTTATGTTGGTATGAAAGTGTAAAATTGGTTTGACTGAAGTAAAGACTGGAAGGTCAGCACCAAGTGGATGCCTCTGTGTTCTGCGTGCAAGTGAGGGGTAGTATAGACATCATCCTTTGTGTGTACATATACTGTTTCATTGTGGCAAATGAAAATAATTCAGAGAAATAATTGAAATAAAACATTATATGAATATTATAAAAATTTTTGTTACATTGAGATTTTCATGCCACTGGAATTGATTGTACCTGGATTGGATATAAAATGTGTTTTCTCTTAGACCTCAGAGAGTGTTTTTGCCTGACCTGTGTGGTGGCTTAAAAGGAAGAGGTGTAGGGGTGCTTGTAATGAGGGAGCTCAGAAGTCACCAGTACACAAGTGAAGGTGCCTTTTCCAGACTGCGGTTAACGTGTGCTATTTCCCCCTTTCTTTTGTTCCTGTTTACTGTGCTGAGTAAGGCCACCCTTCAGAGGCTCTTTTGGTGCCCAGGCCCCGGAGGCAGCCAGATTTCTAGAATTTTGGATTTGGTTTTTCTTAGCTACAAGATCTTGGACGAGATACATTCTCACTCCTCTCTTATGTGCACAGTGGTATAATAGGAAGCAAAGGGTTTTGATGATTACTTGAATAAGACTATATAGTGTCTGGCTTGTGGTTTTAGCTATTATTAAGAAATGAGTATTTGTGCTTTGATATTTTATTTTTAAGGATATTTTTGAAATTAATAGAATTTAAGAATATTTCAGATACAGTAACAACTTTTTTATGGTGAAGTAAAAAAAACCTCTTAAAACTTAACTTTTTGTAAAAGAAGCTTAAATAGTTTGAATAGTTTGGACAGTGATAAAAATATGTGCTTTTATAGCATCCAGAATATACCTAACACTAACTTTGAACTTGGATTGTTTCTTCTTTGCTATTGTTGTGAATACATAACATTTACATGGCTCAAAATTGAAGAAACACGTGTCCCCGTTTTTGTCATCTTTTTTGAGAAATTTAAAAGTGTACATTTTTTACAAAAAATACTTTTCCACTTTGAACACAAATCAAAGATAGTGTAGTACACCCACTACTCTGTTCCTTGCTATTTCAATCTCATATCTTATTACAGCCCCTTTCTCTCTGCATCCTTATTTATTTATTTATTTTTGGTACTGGGGATAAAACTCCTGTCCTTGGTGCTTGCGAGGCAGATGGCAGAACCACTGAGCCAAACCCCCGGCCCTCCATTCTTTACTTTTTTACTTATGTTCACATTCTGGATCTGACTGATTGCTTCCTCTTGGCATTGTATGCTTTGTTTTCCCTAAATTTGTATTTCCTGTAAACTGGTTATTTAGCATATTTTGAATCCATGCTGATATTTCCATTTCTATTGGAAGATTCTTGATATTGTTCCTAAAATATTAATATAATTATGTTTGTTTTGTTTTCTATTATATACACTTCAAAATAGCGATACCAATCTTACTGTTATTAGCAAGACTATCAAATGCAAAGTTTGATTTCCTTGTTTAGCTTTTTAACTTAGAATACATCTTACTCAACATTTTGTCAAAATACTGTGTTTTAAAATTATTTGAACTTTTCTGTTGGTTATTACATCATCAACTTAATTTGCATACTCCTGTTTTCATTTATTTTTAACTTTTAGGAATCACTTTTAATGATTTAACTTTTTTGATTGTATAGAACATTTACATAATCCAAAATTAAAACTATAAAATGGTTTATGTGGAATATCTTGCTCTCATATTTACTTCCTACCCCTGTTCTCTTCCTTCAGTCACCATTCCTAGTAATTTTACATTTATTATTCTATTGCTCCTTTTTAAAAATTTAAATACAATGTGTGTGTTTCTCATCTTACTCACAAGAGAACATACTTGATTACTTTCACTTCTAGGCGATCGTGGCTTCTTTGCCAGTTGCCCAGTGTCCTGCCATGTGATAGATGGCAGTTCATCTTTTTGTCCCTTAGTAATGAATATGTGGGTTGGCAGTCTTTTGCCATATAAATAAAGCCACAAGGAATAAATGTGATCTGATGAATATGCTCTTTTATATCTCTACCAGCAAGTTTTTGGTGTGGATAACCCTATTTCTAAAAATAGTGTTGCTGGATCCTGAGGGGAAATACATACATACAAGGTTATCCAACAATACATGGAATGTTTACATTTTGAAAATGCATTCTAGTAAAAGACATATGGTCATCAGTCCATCTGACCTGAAACACACTGTCATTCGTGCCACTTTCCGAAGTAGGTAGTTCTGGAAGTTCTCTTTCATGGATGTCTTTATCAGATGTGATAAGAAATATGATGAATGCTACTGCTGCCAGTGGAAAGGGACCCTTGGGACAATGTCTGTCTTATTCACTGGATCTGGACTGTGTGAATTCTGGCTCTTTTTCAAAGGCAGAATGACCATGAAATGTAAATGTTGGGAATTGATTCATGACCTTGAGGCAGCCGTGACAATGTGACTAAAGACGCTCAGCTCACAACAGAAGACTCCTGGAACTGCTTCAGAAAGTGGCAAGAAGGATGGGATGTGTGTTTGAAGTGAGGCTATCATTTTGAGGGGCATTAATGGCAACCTGCCTTTTACTGTAATAAATGTTCAAACTTAAACATTTATTGTGGTTTTTATCATACTTCATGTGTACTTTGCTTTGAGTTTGCCAAGTTCTCCATCATGTGTCTGTTGTCATTTATGTAATCACCAGTAGTGTTTGTTAGTTTCTGTGTACAAGCCTCACAAATAGTATATATTGTTAATGTTTGGATTTTTTTCTAGCCTGATAGGTAAAGAATAAATACTGTCATATATTCTTTTTTTTTAATGAGCAAGAGTACACATTTCTTATAAGGAACAACAGTTTTCACATATTTTGCCATTCTTCTGTTGAGGATTTTTTTTTTTTTTTTTTTGGTTTTTTGAGACAGGGTCTCACTATGTAGTTGAGACTGATCTGGAACTCACTATGTAGCCCACACAGTGATCCTTCTGCCTCAGCCTCCCGTGTGCTGGGATTACAGGCATATGTGCCACCACACCCGGCTTGTTGAAAATAGTTTTAAACAAGTGACATTATCTTACAGTTTTTGACTTTGACTCTTTAGAGTGACATGGTTTTAATTTCACTTCTAGGATCATTATAATTTCAAGTATAGATGAAGGTAAACTTTTCATGCCAACCTTTGTGTCTTACTCATCTTCTCATCGCTAGGACACAATAGCTGACATCCACAAATTTTAGAGGAGCGGTTTATTTGGGCTCACAGCCCGTGAGAATTTAGTCCATAGTTGATTGGGTCCAGGATGGCATGGCAGGGGGACATGGTGGACAGGAAGCAGAGGATCAAGGAGGAGCCAGGAAGGGCGGTGCAGCCTTCTGTGTCACACCCACAGAGACCCGCCTCTTCGGATCAGGCCTCACTTCCTAACAGCAGTTAATCAAGTCACCTTCCAAAGGTCTGTCTATGGTAACATGAGGCTTTGGGGGCCATCTAGATATAAATCATAATACTTGATCATTTCATCGTGTTGAGTGTTAACATAATCCCATACTTCCTCAGTAATGATGTTTTGAAGATCAAGTGTAAATCATCTTTAAAATACTTGAGTTATTAAAGCTTTGATAATGGGATTGATAGGAAAACAAAAGGAATAAACTTCAGCATTAAGATGATCTTCTTTTTATTTTATGACCTGAAGATTAAAACACAATTACAAACATCAGTGTACTAAAAAACCGTAAATGTTAAAAAATGGAATTGTTTAAAGTCTATTTTACAAATGTTGAGAAAAGTTTTTTGTCTTAAGGATTGTAAACTTTAAACTTCATAATCAGGATTCAGGATTTGGTGATAACATGTTTTCTGTGAAACTTCAACTAGTTTTTATGTAAGTAATATAAAATTTTATCCTTTAGGGAAAGGTCCTGGAAAAAGGAGAGGCCCGACAATCAAGATATCTGGAGTCCAGGTTAATGTGAAATCCATTATCCAACATGAGGAAGAGTTTGAAATGCTGCATAAATCTATCCCTCTGGACCCTGAAGAAAAAAAAAAGTGAGTGTTTTGTGTACATGCATGGATGACATTGGAGGTCACAGTTGTGTGTCATTACTGTCTCTTGTAACATCAGAAAAGGTCCCTTTGTAATGCTCTTCTGTTTTGAAACCTCTAGGTACTGCCTAACCTGTCGGGTCAAAGCTGCACACTTTGATGTAGAGTGGGGAGTGGAGGATGACTCTCGCCTGCTGCTGGGAATTTACGAGCATGGCTATGGAAACTGGGAGTTAATTAAGACAGACCCAGAGCTGAAACTGACCGACAAAGTAAGGAGCTCTGCTAGCGATTTCTAGAAGATGTGTTGTATACTGTTTTTACCTCGATTACTTACTTTCAACTTTTTTTAAGAAGGGGGGATGAGATTGGATAGTAATATAATAGCAAGTTCCTGGGATTTCTTATCCTTGGAAGTGTTACCATCTTTTTTGGACTGTTTTTGGACAATAAAGAGAGAGACAGTAACCAGGTGAAATTTTGGGGTAATTCTAGGAGAAATCTTAAAATTCTCATACTTATTTTAGGTCAGATTTCATTACAACAAATACCAGGGTAACCAGCATTCGTGGGCCTTTGTTTTTGGCCATTTGTTTAAAAGTGTACTTGGGACAGCCATATTTCAGTTCTACACACAAAGAATGAGCATCACCTTGGTATTTTTGTAGTGGATTTAAATTTTGCTTCTCCCACAAAATCGAGCCTCCCACCCTATCTGCTGCAAGTAACAAGGCCGTGGTTAGAGCAATAAGCAAGGAAAGCTGACTGACTCAAATTTAGTTGGATTCGCTCCATGCTCTGCTCCTAGCAGGGCTTTCCCTGGCACGTCAGAGCACGCTCATCCCATCCGGGGTGTAGGAGGGTGACAGCACCCTGCCACGAGCACTGAGACCACATCCAGTCCGGCCCGAGCAGCTCAGCTGTGGTAGCAGGGAATGGATCCTGTCCTGGCATAGCTCAGTGCTCTCCGGCAATGCTCTAAGAAGCATTTTCAATCTAAAATGAAGCTTTAACCTAGCTCCAGGGATTCCCTGCTCCTGGAAGGAGGAAATCCACGCCGGCTGGGATGCTCTAGCAGATGAAGCCACAAGCCCCTCCTACCTGAGTTGTTCTACCCTGTTAACAGCACAGGTAGGAGCCAGTGGGAGAGCTGGATTTCTCCATCCCATTTTGTAAAGTGAGAACGGCTCATGAGGGATTTTCAGTGACTGGGAGCCATGAACATGAGAATAGGATCTGAGGCTTATCTGTGTTCTGGGTGGTTGGGGAGGGAAAGGACAGCACTGAGCATTTTGTCGTGTTTATTGATTCACTAACCGGGGTGTGGGTGGTGGCGGGTGCTTCTCTCCCTTTCCTGTCGAAGATTCTGCCTGTGGAGACAGATAAAAAGCCTCAAGGGAAGCAGCTACAGAACCGAGCGGACTATTTGCTGAAGCTGCTGAGGAAGGGCCTGGAGAAGAAGGGGGCCGTGGCAGGTGGGGAGGAGGTAGGTGCACTGCAGCTGGGTGTTCCTCAGGGGCCGTGGCTCCATCCCTGCAGAGCTGGGGGATGAGATGCCCTGTGGGGCGTTGCACAGCGTGCTGCCTGGTCATGGCTGTTCTGCTTTGCAGGCTCCATGGTGGTAGTTTGGCTGGTGAGAACAGAAATACTTGTTTAATAATTAACCTCGACACCTTGGCATGGTTCTTCCAAAAGCCATTTCCTTCAAATCTTGTCCAAAATAATCCGTCTTTCACCATTGGAACTGATCCAGATGTACTGATACTGTTTCTGGCTCCCTCAGTTTTGGAACATGATTCCAGTTATTATATTAAATACCAAAGGGTTTGCCTGTCATTATATTTAAGGGAGCTGCTTGTGCTGGTGGATTCCAGCAGTAAGATGGGCAGTTGGTGTCCATAGTTTATTTCAGAAACTGGACTTAATTACAGTTATCTTACTGGCTCAGTGGAAAATGCCAACTAAGTTGCTAATGAATTCTTCTGAACTTTATCCCCTTTTATTTCTCCAACTTAGTATTTCAGTGCAGGCCTAGAAAGATGGTGTCACAGTTAGGAGATCTGTAAGTTGTGTTCTGTACTAGCAGCTTTTGTGTGTGCATGTGCCTGAAGTGCTCTCAAGCTGTGCCATTTGTATTAGTTGCCTTGCATTGTAAGTCAAAGAAATTGTATTTAAAAGGTCACCACAGCCCCAATCCTTGCTGTTTTTCGAATAATAATGTTATAGGATTTAGTATCATTCTTCGGAGAATGTGGTGAAAATGTTACCTGTTAGGTCTAGAAAGACAGATTGGATCATGTTTGTACTTATTTTAGATTATTATATTTGATTTAGTAGATAAACAGTATTTTAACCTTTTCCTTATTTTAAGATGTAGCTTGTTTCCCAGTTTTTCAGTTTATCATCTTTAATGTTATTTTTAATTGTATCTTTATATGTAGAGTGTTTTCTTCCCCCTTTTTTGAATTTTTTCTTTTGGTTGAGATGAATTTTATGTTTAGGCATGGATTTTAGCTTTATTCATGCCAAAAACTAGAATCAATAGGTTCAGGGAGTTTTTAATGTGGTTTAGGAAGCAGATAGGGCCTGTAGGGTTTATTTTCCTTTCCTCCAGATAAATTTGGTTGACTCCTGATTTCTCTGAATTTTCTTCCTTTGAATTATATGGATGCTAGCACTTGAGAATGTCAAAATGTTATTATTTAGTTCTGCTTTTTTTTTTCAGTTTTTTGAGACAAATCTCACTATGTAGTTGAGACTGACCTGGAACTCACTTTGTAGCCCAGGCTGGTCTCGGACTCACAGCGATCCTCCTGACTCAGCCTCCCGAGTGCTGGGATTACAGGCATGCGCCACCACGCCTTAGTGTAGTTATGCTTTTGAAAAAAGTCTTCATTTGTAGTTTTATCAGCCTTTTTTTTTTCTTTCCAGGCCAAATTAAAGAAGCGGAAGCCTCGAGTAAAGAAGGAAAACAAAGCACCCAGGTTGAAAGATGAACATGGAATTGAGTTTTCCTCTCCCAGACACTCAGATAATCCATCAGAAGAGGGAGAAGTGAAGGTGTGAGCTGATTTCATCTGGGGGTCTTATGGTATAAAGTCCTGTGATGTGTTTGGTTCACATGTAGAATAAGTACACTTTGTGTATTTTTGCTCAACCTGTCAGAGAAAGTGTAGTGTTCATTTATGTCAGCGATTACAAATTCATACATAGCATTAGTAATGAGAACCATGGAAATTTTAGTGATAAATGGCTATTGATATTTAGCTTCAGTTTTGGAAAGTGGAGGGGCTATGGAGATAATGCCTAATATGAAGAGGCAGCTACTGAGCAGTTTAGTAGGCCCAAATAAAAGTCCTCTGTGGGTCAGGTTTGGCCCAAGTCCTACCAGGGTTTTATTATGTATGTATGTACGTACATACGTATACGTACCAGGGATCAAGCTCAGGACCTTGCGTTTGCTAGGCAGGCATGGTGCCACTAACTTATTTATTTTTGACACAAGGTCTCGCTATGTAGTCCAGGCTGGTCTTGAGCTCACTGTGTAGTCCAGGCTGGCCTTGAGCTTGTGGCGATCCTCCTGCCTCAGCCTCCCACATGCTGGGACTATAGGTGGTGCCATCACACCCAGCTCTTACCAGTTTTTAACCTCTGGTCTGAGTTAAGTAAAAAGTAAATTGGTGTCATTGAATGTGTTGTGTCACTGAGATGCAACCTTATGGGGTTTTATTTTGTTGCTCTTAAAGTGTAACTGTACTTTCAGATTAGCTCAGGGTGAGCATCGGGGAGGTACAGGAACTAATATGCATGAACTCAAATATTAATAACCTTATCAATTACTAGCTGACTGTGGATAGAAATACAGCCTCTTCAGCCTCAGTTGTTTTCTGTCTGTGAAATGGGGATGATAATGCATTTTCAGGTGGGATGCAGTTCTGGGGATCAAACTCAGGGCCTTGCACATGCTAGGCAAATGCTGTACCATTGAACTATACTCCTAGCTTAATAATGCCTATCTTAAAGCGTTGCTGTGAGGAGTAACAGAGGTGACATAAGTAAAGCGCATCTGCCTATGAGTGCTTAACTGGTTAGTACTAAAGGGTTGAGACTTGTGCATGCAAGTACTTCAACGTTCTGTGTTTGGGAACAATCTTCTAGACACGGAATGAGCCATTGGGGGCAGTACTTCTTTTCCCAAGAAGTAAATAAGTAAATAGAAGGTTCATAGCAAAAATTCATAGTTCTATTTGTTTCCTAGGATGATGGCTTAGAAAAAAGTCCAGTGAAAAAAAAACAGAAGAAGAAAGAGAACAAAGAGAACAAAGAGAAACAAATGAGTTCTAGGAAAGACAAAGAAGGGGACAAAGAAAGGAAGAAGTCAAAAGATAAGAAAGAGAAGGTATTGATGCTGTTTTCCTTATGAAGATACCCAGAGGTTAGAAGTTCCTATTTAGATTTAGATATAGAGTGGGCTTTGTGCACCCGGATATCGTTGTTAGGTGAGTTTATTCAAGAAGAAAGGATGGAGCTGTGGAAGGCTGCCTGCACCCTTCCTTGTAGAGAGAGCAGGAATTTGGCAACTTCTGTGGTGTTCTTTAGTACAGAAGGTCTTTATTTGTTATTTTATTACCTATGGGGGAGAGCTGTGGTGTTTAGAATAGGATAGGACAGGGGTGTGAATGTACTCGTACAGGTGTCTACTTGAAGAATGTTGTTCGCTTTGTGTTAGAAGAGGGCAATCCATGAATGCATTTGGATATTTAAAGGGTGTAGGATTCCAAACAAATATTATCAAGTTACTGGAATAGACATGGATGAAAAGCCGTGGTGTTTCAAGTTGGGAGTTTTATGAAGTTCATTCCAAGCACAGAATTGGTACAGTGTTGCATGTCTGCTTGGTGACTTCTACAAACAAATTTTGCAGTTAACCTTAATATTTACCAAAGTGAACAAACATAAACCTGCTATAATTCCCCAATCCAATGGTAACTCTTGGTTTCTTACTGAGTAGCTTTGGAACATTATTCTTAATGAGTTTAGGTACAAATACAAAATTAAAATAAGATCAGACCATTTGGGTACTCTTTTCAGTGGGGAGAACAACTTTCCAAGTTGATAAATAAATGTTAAGATAACTTTTTTGTTTGTTGTTTTGTTTTTTGAGACAGGGTCTCACTATGTAGTTGAGACTGACCTGGAGCTCACTATGTAGCCCAGGCTGGTTTTGAACTCACAGTGGTCCTCCTGACTCAGCCTCCTGAGTGCTGGGGTTACAGGCGTGCGCCACCACACCTGGCTTAAGATAATTTTTAATGGATAAATTTTGTTTTGGTGGGACATTTTGCAAGCAACATAAATCTCTTGTATTGAAATTGCTTTCCAGGTTCTGTTGTTATAAATAGTACATACTGTAACACACACCTTTGCGTTTATGCTCCCTCACAAAGACATTCTTGCCAGGCATAACTGACTCACACCTATTCTCCTACCAGTCTAGAGGACTGAGGTAGGAGGATCCCAAGTTCAGCCCAGCCTGGGCAATAGCAACCTAGTGAGACACTGTCTGAAGAACATAAAAAATAAAAGGGCTGGGGACGTAACTGTGCAGAAGCCCTGGGTTCAATCCTTAGTTATTCTCCCTACTCTGTATCCCCCTAAAAAATATTCTTTTGTTTTTTAAAGTGAAATATTTGAACAATAAAGGCATAAAAACAGTTTAGCAAATATCTGTTATTTCCTGCTCCAGTATTACAAATGTTTGTATTTTTTTCATGGTTATTTCAGCTGGCTTTTTTGCTGATTAATGTAATTTGTATTTCATAAACACATTAGTAACTGCTGAAGCTCTCATCATTACTGCTTTTTCCTGACTGCATTCCTGTCATCCTTCTTCTCTTCATCCACTATTCTGAAGTCGGTGTGACACTTTCCTACCCATTCTTTCATGCTTGTAAGATTCATACTCCATAACCACAAAGCATACAATGTGCTGCATGTTTTTAAATGTTCCTACATAAAGTTATTGTATATATACTTTTGCAACCTTTTATTCTATGTAATTAATGAGATTTATCGTTGTTGATTCATGTAGATTTCAGTCACAGTAATTCAATAAATACTCTAAATTTCTAGATCAAGGGTAAGTTGTTAGTAAAAGTGACTTTCATGCTACTCTAGAGGTTCTGCCAGTTTGTAATTTTAACCTATTGGTGACATTTTTGGGCATTTTCTAGATGAAAGAATAGAAGCTCCCAAGTAGTGTTGATGAAATTGAAGTTGCAGTTTGGTATATTTAGAGGCGGAAATAAGGAACGATGTATAAGTAAGCTGTTAGTCTCATAGGTTTGTATAAAGTGAAGCTTTATATTTTCCCTCTGTAACAGTGCAACAGATAAGAAGTAGAGATTGCATAAGTGACAATGACTCCTTTTTTCTTTAAAGCCTAAAGGGGGTGATACCAAATCTTCAAATAAATCAAAGCGATCTCAGGGCCCTGTGCATATTACAGCAGGAAGTGAACCTGTCCCTATTGGAGAGGATGAAGATGATGATCTCGACCAGGAGACCTTCAGTATTGTAAGTCTGAAGCATGGGGATGCTGGGTCTGTACCACAGTCCTTGCTGTGTTGCTGCCCCTTGAAGATGGAGCCAGAGCTTCAGGGAGTATGTGTGTTGGTGTATTTTTTTTTTGGAATCACATCACTTTTGGTGCCTAAAGATTGTGTTCCAAACCAGGTTGGCAGAAAGAGACTTTCTTACTTGTTTTCTAGTGAGGAATACTTTAGGAATCCAATTTCATGTCTAGTGTTTGCAGTTGAAAAGTTTTTAGGAGCCCTCAGAGGCATTTTGGAATCAGGAGTGTTTTCCATGCCAGCCCCTGGAGTTACCATGCTGAACAGAAGAAAACTATCTTTGTAGACTTGACATCTGCATAGCAGAGAGAGATAACTGCATTAGTCATGTTGGTGCTGCTGTGAGGGGGTTGTGGAGGTGGAGGCCCTGGGAGGAGGGGATTTGACTGAGTCAACAAGAGTTAGGAACACTTAAGGAAGTTGTGTTTGAATTAGATCCTGGAGGAAGGGTAAAAGGTAATAGGAGAAGAGGCTGAGAAGAAAAGGCTAAGGCCAGGCAGCAGCGTGTACAAAAGCTGTGTGGCAGGAGCATTTAGGGTACATACGTGGATTTCCTTGTGCTGTAGATCTCCATGCCTAGCCCACCCCTGTTCTCTTCTGCCCAAACTTCCTGAGATGACACTGTCTTCTGAACTGGAAAGTACTTCTGCCTGTAGCAAGAAGTCGACTGTTGTTATAGTCTCCTCTCTCTCACCTCCCTTCTCGGTATTCTCTAAAACTTTCATGGTGTGTGTGTGTGTATTTCTTTGTGATTATTTCAGTCTGCACAATTCTCTTTTCTGCCTGTGAGCTTTCAGAGGGCAGGTACTGTGCTTTGTATGTAGTCCATTTAGATGCTAGAAGTATATCAGTCAGTGAATGAATTGCGTAAATGAATAAATTCATTGTCCCAGGTGTCTGCTCTGTTTTCCAGTTCCTCCTCAGCTCATTGTTTATAGATGAATATAATAGCTGATACTTCTGTGGCACCATTTAAAAAAAAATGTACATATTTATAAGCCAGGCACAGTAGCATGTGTACATAGCCTCAGCTATTCAGGAAGCTGAGGTGGGAGGATTAGATTGTATTTGATACTTGAGCCTAGGACTTTGAAACCAGCCTGAGTAAATAGCAAGAATGTGTCTCAGGCAATCAATATAGGCTCATTTAATCTTCTTTGTATCTTTTTTTTTTTGATACTGGGATTGAACTCATGTCCTTGCAAGGCAGCTACCGAACCACTGAGCTAAATCCCCAGCCCTCTTGCTTGTATCTTAATGAAATCTTTAAAAATACAGATAAATTTCAGGAATATAATAGGTGTTGGTATAGATATTATGAAGTTTTGCCTCATCTAAAATTTTTATTACTTATTATAGGGTTGAAGCTTCTGGTATTTCTTACTCTAAACCCATTTTCTTTCTTTCTTACCTCCCTGAAATAACCATGATTCTGAATTTGATTGTTATGCTTATGGGTCTTTTAGATTTTTACTACTTACCTCTGTTTGGCTGGCAATAGCTCATGTAAACAGCCAGGCACCATTGTGTGTTTTAGGTGTATAAAACAATCTTTGAGGTAGCTTATCTTCACTTTACATATTAAATAAGGTGAAAGCTTGAGTCTTTAACAGCTGTGCAACACAGCCTCCCATGTCTCTGTAAACAGCAAATAGCATTGCTTTCTATAGTTTAAAATCACACAGATGGGGGACTGGGGATTTAGCTCAGTGGTGCCGCTGCCTGCTCTGCAAGCACAAGGTCCTGAGTTTGATTCCCAGTACAAAAAAAAAACAAAAAACAAAAGCAACAATATAAATGGTACACTGCTTGTAACCTGTAACTTGCTTTCCCCTCACATTTTTGCTTTTGTTATTTTGAGATAGGATCTCACTAGGTAGCCAAGGCTGGCCTCAGACTCACAGTGATCCTCCTGCCTCAGCGTCCTGAGTGCTGGGATTACAGGTGTGTTCCACCATGCCTGGCTCCTCTTCACATTTTTGAGATCTGTCCAAATTACAGCATACATGGCTGTCATTTAAATACTTTATGTTACTCTATTTTATGACTTATGTAATTGATCCTTATTTCTCTAGATGGACATTGGTGTTTTCCCAATACTTGTTAACACAGATAGGCTGCAGTAAGATTATTAAAGGTATTTTCTTGTGCTTCTGTGCAGAGGCTTCTATATGGCATGTGGCTGGACCAGAAATGCTAGGTGCCCCATAGGTGTGCACATCTACAGTGTGTGGTGTGTTTTTATTTTGAGTCCTTTTTTGTACTTGAAATTTAACACTGAAAAATGCATAAGATCATAAGTGTGTAGCCATGGGAGTTACCACAAAATGATAGAAATTTTTGTAGAGTTTTCATTGTTACACAATTTCATGATCATGAAATTGTGATTGTGCTAGATACTCAGTGGCTGACAACCATATCCTACAATTCTGAGAAATTTTCTTGAATTATTTTGTACTAATTATGCTCTCCTGAAGTCCTCAGTTTTGTCTTTATGGAGTTATTTGTTTTGGGGTGTTATACTCTGGATATTAATCTCTAATTTTGTCTTTTTAAACTTTCCATTTCTGCTTTTTTACTTTCTGGGGGATAACCTCAACCTTTATTCCCCTGATTTCTTCTGAATTTTTCATTTCTTTTGTTACGCTTCATTTCCAAGATCTTTCCTCCTTTATAGTTCTCTCAGTATTTTTGTGTTTCTCTTTGTTTTCTGGAATTCATGTTAGAAACTTTCTTCACATGTCTTTGCCAGTCAATCCTCAGTTGTCTGCTTGTGTCTGAGAGTTTGGGACTAAACATCTGTTTGGGAGCCAAGCCAGTGGCTAGGGTTTTGATTGCTTTCTGGTTTTTTTTGTACCAGGGATCAAACTTGGGACCTTGCGCTTGCGAGGCAGGCTGTGGAACCACTAAGCTAAATCCCTGGCCCATTGATTGCTTTCATTGTAAGGGGATCTGGCCGAGGGCCTCGTGGGGAAACTTCCATTGAACCAGAGTTGACATTTTTCGTTCACCCTCTGGGGTTGTCAGATTTGTTAGCTCTCTCTTGATCTGCTAGCTAGAGAGTGAAGCCTGGCCTGCTTCCTTCTGGAATTTGATTCCTGGGTGGGTGGTGGTTCATGCATTAAGCATTTGATCTGATAAATCCTCTTTTCACGCTGCCCAGCCAGCCTAGAGCTGTTTCTTTTGTCCTTCTAGAGAAGCCTTTGTGTGTGTTGCAGAGTGCAGTTGGTGCTCCATGTCCGTTATGAATCTGGGAATCTGTTACTTCTTGGACTTTGTTTAAATCAGTCTCTGGTAACCCTCATCCCTATTTCCAGAAACATCTGGCCTTTGGGGGAGCATAGAGCAGGTTAGCTGTGGGGCTTAGGAGTTCATTTTCTCAGGTCTGTTGTCAATTCTCTATGTTGCCAGGAACTTTATAGGTAGTATTTTCTTTATGGGCTTATCTCTTTCGAAGATAATTTCTTTACTCAGCTTGTTAGTGTGGTTGGGGGAGAAAGAAAAAGATTTTTGTGGTCAGTGTACCGTCTTTTATCTGCAAGCCCTTTCTGTACTGTTTTCAAGACTAAAGGATTTGTTAATGTTTCCCTCTGCATGCACTATTTAGATAGTTCATGGCAGGACGTTTTCAGGTTAGGCCTGCAGTACTGTTTCCCATTTGACTTTCATAATTGCCTTGTGGGGCATCACCGTGGTCCTCCTGCAGATGACGAACTGTGTTTCAGACCAAGGGGTGTCATGTAACTCCAGGGAGTTCCCACAGCCCTTGCTCATCAGTTTTCTGAGACTGATACTGGACTCATTCCATCCCTCAGGCAGTACCTGCTCACCATTGCAGTGATTAAGTGGCATGAAGGTGGCAGTGTTTTGTCTGAGGGTGGATGATCGGGGAGGGCATGCTCTGTATTGGAGAAGGCTTCTTTCCTGCATGTGGCTCATGTCTCTGCTGTGTTGGTCTCTTCCAGTGTAAGGAGAGGATGAGGCCTGTGAAAAAGGCGCTGAAACAGCTGGACAAACCTGACAAGGGACTAAATGTACAAGAACAGCTCGAACACACACGGAACTGTCTGCTGAAAATCGGAGACCGGATAGCCGAGTGCCTTAAAGCCTACTCAGACCAGGAGCACGTCAAACTGTGGAGGAGGTAACTGACCTTGGCCTCTGGTCTGCCCAGTTCAGTTTGACAGTGTCCGGGTGGGTTTTGTTTACTAAGAGGTGGCAAAGCTATCTGGTGAGAACCTTTTTCCAAACACGATTCATCTATTATCAGCTTATCTGCAGGCTTTAACTTTCTTTTCATGAACTAGGCCATTCCACTGAAACTAGACTTTTGAAGGGGTGGGGTGATGTTGTTGATGTCATTGGTAAGAGGAAGACAGTGATGCTGGATTTGTGGCTCACTCTCAGAAGACCCTGTCTCTAAACCTGTAAAGGATAGAAATGATCTCGTGTAATTACCTGCCCACCTTGAGTTGATACTCAGATGTAATTATACCTACTACAAGTAATTGGTTGGTTCTATACCAATATATAAGGTAAAACAAAGATTAAAACCACAGAGAACTGTCAATTCCCCATTTATCTTCTTCCATAATGGTTAAAAAAACAATAGTAAATTGGTTCAATGTAGTTAATCTAGAACTTTAGTTTGTAAGGCATGGTTTTTATATATATTTATATTTAAACAGTTTGAGTGTTGTATATCTGAGATCCTTGGGACCAGACCATTTTCAGATTTTAGAATATTTATTCTTATTTAATAACGTACCTTTGGGGAGAAAATCCAGTTCATATTTGTGTTACACGTATAGCTTGAAGGTAATCACACTGTATTTTTTGTGCACCTGCATTTTGTCAGTGACCCCATCACATGAGGTCAGGTGTGGAATTTTCCACTTTGCTCTCAGGTCAGTACTCACATGGCTTAAGATACTCAGATTGAAGATGCTCAATATCACTTTTGATTTTTTTTTTAACCAGGGATAAAATTCAGGTCCTTGTGCTTGCGAGGCAGGCGGTAGCACCACTGAGTTAAATCCCTGGCCCATAAGCTTTAAATTATGATTTTTTTTTTTGTACTGGAGATCAAACTTGGGTCCTTGTGCTTGTGAGGCAGGTGCTGGAACCACTGAGCTAAATCCCTGGCCCACTTTTGTTATTTTGAGGAGATATGGCTGGCATTTGTAAAAGACAATTGTAACATGAAGTTTCTTTCCATAAACCTCCGCTACTTTGAACCCAGGTACTTTATGTTCAGTGAAATTACCTTTCTCATCCAGTTTATTTAAACCATGGTCTCACTGTGTAGCCCAGGCTGGCCTTGAACTCAAGATTGTGTTGCCTCAACCACCTGAGTGCTGGCATTACAGGTGTACACTGTCATGCACAGATTGGTTTTAAAAATGAGAAATGGCTTTAAGAAAAGTTCTCCATAGAAATAAAATAGTTTTTAAAATGCTATTTCCTTTCTTCTTAGCAGTGTTAGCAACTTCCTCCTTTACCTAGAGCATACGGCTTCCTTTTTACCTGAACAGAAGACAGCAAAATATCCTCCTAGTGCATAAGTTCATGAAGGCTTCCTACTGTGCACTTGGGTATGCCTGTGTGGCCTGCCTGGGATGTACCCCAGTAATATTTGATTTTGGCTAGCAGTAGGTCATACAAAAGTCCTTAGGAGTCAAAAATAGTATAAGGTAAGACTTCTGGGAGACTGGCCATCACAAGTGATAAATGCAAGATCAGATAATGCAGATTCCAAGAACAAGATACCTACAGAAAGGAGTCAGGGAGGGAGGTCTTCTGAGAGGTAGGCAGGTGCACTGCAGCTGCTCATAGACAAGCTGGTGGAACTGCTTGGATGAGCAGGGCTCTCAGGCTTCAGCAAAAGTTTGAAAGTGGGACAGCGAGGAGTTGGATGTGTTGACACATGTCTGTGATCCCAGCACCCAGGAGGCTGAGACGGGTTGTTGAAAGTTGGAGGACAGCTTAAGCTATAGAGTGAGTTCAGGGTTGGTGTAATTTACATAGACTTGGTCTCTAAAAAAATGTAAAACCTTCAACCCCATCTCCAAGGAAGAAAGGAGAGGCAGTGAGAATGAGAGGTATTTAGTACTTAAAGGCAATTTGTTCAAAAGAGTGAACCTCTTTATAGGAGACCTTAGCAAAGTAAATGGCTTTCCACCTGACACAGTAGATTTGTTGTTAGGGAACCTGTACAGGTGTTCTGTCAAGGGCATGGAATGGAGAAACTGCCCACTGGGAAGCTTGAAGTGGTGTGAGACTCTCCCACACACGGTACCTACACCTGCTTAGTCCTGTACCGTCCCTACAGTGCAGTGGTGCCATCAGGGAGAACATGGTGGCATTAGGAGGAGCCACTGAGAGTTTAAGAGACATGTCAGGCTTGGAGGTGATAACTCGGAGGAAAGAAGGGTGGCGACACAGAGATGACAAGTAAATGGAGATTCCAGCCTAGGAAATGGCACTGAAGATGGATTGAAAACAGAGAAGGCAGAGAGGAAAACTTAAAGGGCTGCAGTAGCAGATGCCACTGATGTAAATTTGGGGGTTTGACTGTTGACAGAACCTGGGTCTCAAGACCTTTTAGTCCATTTCTTTTGGTAGAAGTGTAAAAGTTGTTGAGAATGTTCCCATAACTTCAGTTTCTACAGTTGGAGAGTATTCCACAGCAAAAAAATTTTTTTCTTTCCGGTTCTGCCAGAAGGCCTTTATTACATCATAAAAGCAACACCAGGCACTAGGTCTTGCAAAATAGGTGCTGACCAACTCTAACCTTTCTAAAGATAAAAATACATGACAACATTTGTAAGGTTTCAATGAACAAAAAGTTAAATACAAACTTTCATATGCAAAATAGACTATTACAACTGGCGACCTCAGAGCCAAGTACTAAATCTTCCACAGACTCTGTTGGGGGGCACTGAGGATGGGGGAGGGGTAGGGATCGTAATGAATACAAAACTTAATTTTAGCTTAGTTTATAAAAAAAAAAAAAATCTGTGTAGAAAAATAGCTTCCAATTGAATAGTATCTTTTGAAATAAAGAGTTCAGGCCAGCCCTTAAGATTCCGAGGTTTACACTCAGCCGGATCCGGGACAAAGTGAAGATGTAGGGTTTACGGTTACTTGGAATCCAGTCTCAAGAGTGCTCTGTGTTGCCTGCTGACCATGACACACTTCTGGACTCCCGCGGAGAACCAGAGCCCCACAGCTACAGCCACTCTGCCATGGCACGGGGCCATGCAGCCATGTCAGACTCGCTCTGCAGCAAAATCAAATAGTTTGGCATGTGTAAAGTGAATAAAAAATTACTGGGCTAATTCTCTAATTACCAAGACTGTTAATTTTTTTTTTTTTTTTTTAAGAAACCTATGGATTTTTGTTTCCAAGTTTACAGAATTTGATGCTCGAAAACTACATAAGTTATACAAGATGGCTCATAAGAAAAGATCTCAAGAAGAGGAGGTAAATTACAGATTTAATCCTGCTTGTTGGTTTTTGAGGAGTAGGGATGATAGGATTGTGGGTTATCACTGCTTGCTGTACAGATAGAGGTGCAGGTCCTAGCTAGGTAATGAAAGCTGCCCCCAGAGCACAGTGTGTGGACTGCAGCCCATCTCATCCTGTATAGTGTGCTCTTGCACTGTGTTAAGTGGAGAGTTTCTCAGTATATCCCACAGTACTCACATGGCAAGACTACTGCTTATAGGGTGAGTAGGCTATATGTTGGAGCCAGGGTTTTAAGATTGTGAGAAGGATTCATTACCTTGTGTTCTCATATTCATTTATTCAGCAGGTCTCCTCTTCTGTGTGCACATGTCTTACGGTAGCTTGAAAATGTGGCTCCTAATAGATAGCAGGATTCTGCGCAGAAAATACTTTTCCTGTTCTTTGCTGGGCTGTGTACTTGCTGTTGTCCAAATGTTTGTATTTAGAGGGGTCCCAGCTGCTCCCTTCAAGAAGCACACGTGAGAAGGTGCCAGAGGTGCTGAAGTGACCTGCTGCAGGGCACGGCGGTGTGAAGATCCGCTGACTTGCTGTGTGGGCCCCACACAGAGCATCCATGTAGGGCCAGTCCAGAACACTGATGTGTGAGCTCCGTGGAGCAGAGATTCTGTCTCATCTCCTGCTGCTGCCTCAGTGCTTGGAGTGGTGCCTGGGGCAAGATCACACTCGGATGTATTTGTTGTGTGAGCTTAGGGTGTTCCCAGTGCTCTGCTGGCTTAGAAGCAATAACCTCAGGTGGTTTACAGTTTAACTCAAAAGAGTATGCTGTAGGGCTGGGGATTTAGCTCAGTGGTTCTGCCACCTGCCTCGCAATCACAAGGACCCGAGTTTGATCCCCATTACCAAAAAAATAGTATGCTATAGCAGTATTATAGAGGAATAATGTACTAATACACTATTAATGCAGAATTTATATATTGTAAAAAAGGTCTCTGAAAGAAGTCAGAAGCGGCCAGAAGAGGGAACAGAATTTTGGGAAAGACCCTTAGGAGTGAAAGTTAGAATAAAGGTCTGAAGTTGGGAGCATAATGGTAAAGGGCTTCATTACTTATCAGATGTTAGTATGATTTAAAAAATAGTGATATCGGGGGCTGGGGATTTAGCTCAGTGGTTTGGTGGCCTGCCTTGCAAGCCCAAGGACCTGAGTTCGATCCCCGGCACCCCCCAAAAAAAAGTGATATCCTACTAGTTGGGAGATAAATTGTCATAAAATTTTTGGAGGATAGTTTTAGAGATAGTTCAAAAGATAACATATAATTCTGCTCTTTACCATTTAATTTAAACATGTATCTAATGGAAATGACTTAGAAGACCAACAGTAAGAAATAGGTTAAATAGATTGTGCTATGGGATGATTTTTGCAAATATATTAAGTGGAAAACAATACTAAATAATGTTTTTGCATTATTATCTGTATAAACACGCAAAAAGCTTAACAGTCATTTCCTTGGTGATTAGATTTTAGGACAATTTTCATTTCTGTTTGTTCATTTTATGATGCATTCATTCATTCTTTCATTTATTTGGTACTGGGGATTGAACTCGTGTCCTTGCGCTTATGAAGCAGGCACTGGAACCACTGAGCTAGATCCGCAGCCCTTGATTGCTTTTGTATTGAGCATTTTACTTGTGTGATAAAAGAGTAAAGTTACTCCAGTCTTTTGCTCTTTAGCTTGATGGTTTGGTGTAGAAACTAGTTCTCCCTGGGAGGTCAGAGATTGCTCTAGGTGGCTGGGAAACTTGGCAGTCCTGGTTTCTCATGGTCCTGGATGGTTCTGTGAGATGCTGACAGCCGGGTTGCTGGTTCCCTCATGCCCAGCGGCTCTTGCCAGTCCTGCCTGCATTCTCACCAGCACTTGCCAGTGGAGGTTGGTTTTCCTGCTGGGATGTAGTAGGTTAAACTCAGCTAATGGATCTCTGTTAGGCTGAAGAGCTTCTTGGAAGTGACAAGCATATCTTGTTAAGAAGGTAATAAAGCTTACGTTAAAAGTCAGGAATGCAGGAAAGTATTTAGAGATAAGGTCTTTATTTTATACTCAGGAATTAAACGTGGCGCCTTGAGATGTTTTGGTTTTCCTTTACAGGAACAAAGGAAGAAAGATGACATGATTGGTGGTAAGAAACCATTTCGACCAGAGGCCTCGAGTTCAAGTCGGGATTCTCTGCTATCTCAGTCTCATACCTCACACAGCCTTCACCCTCAGAAGCCTCATTTGCCTGCCTCCCATGGCCCACAAATGCACGGACACCCAAGAGATAACTACAGTCACCCCAACAAAAGACATTTTAATGCAGGTAGGCCATTAAGTATAACTTTAAAAGAAGTGCCAAAAACTCCCAGTCATTTCATTTTCCAAAGACTACAGATGGACCTTTGTGCTTTATTTGTCTCCAAGACTTTATTTTCTTCTCTTTCTTGGTGACATAAAGCATGAAATAAAGATCCAAAAGACTTTCTCTACTTTTCAGAAAAACATAGATCCCATAAATAAAAGACAAATGATGGTAGATGTAGGGAAAAACATACATTCTGTGACAGGTCAATGGCTAAAATGCTAGTATAAAGAAGTCTTGTTAAGCTGGGCATGGTGGCGCACGCCTGTAATCCCAGCACTTGGGAGGCTGAGGCAGGAGGATCACTCTGAGTTCAAGACCAGCCTGGGTATATAGTGAGTCCCAGGGCAGTCTCAACTACATAGTGAGACCCTGTCTCAAAAAAAAAGAAGAAGAAGAAGTCTTGTTAAATTGATAACAAAATGATAACCAAACAGATAAACGACCAAAGAAGAAAGAGTAGAATAAAGAGAATAACCTATGCAGTGAAAGGATATAAAAACCATACATCTGATAAAATGTATCAGGAACTCAGTAGCAAGAAAATGACCTGATTAAAAATTGGACAAAGATCTGGGTAGGCATTTCTCACAAAAAGTGATGAGAAGAATTCTGAGATGTTCCAAGTTATAGGCAGAGGATGGAAGAGGAGACAGGTAAGAAAAGGTGATTTTACCTCACAGCTTCTCACTTATCAACAAAGAAAACTGAAATAGCTGCTCCTTTGCTGTATGCTGAACATTACCCTTCAAGTCCATTGCATATTCTGTTTTTGGAACCAACCAAGAAACTGCAAAAACTTCTCTTTATGGACTAACTTCTTTTCCTAGGACTTTGCCCACTTCCTGTTGTCCTGCCTCTTTTATCTACAACCAGTGTAGGTTCAGTGTAAACAGTTTCTCTTCTCCCCAGAATTTTATTATAAAACATCCTAGCCCTTTAGGTCCAGGGAACTTTTGCAACTGCTCTCTGGCCATGCTTCTGGTGGTTTAGAGAATTTCTCCCAGGACTGGCCCTTTGACCTTTTGGCTGGCAGTTAAGCCTTTCCTTTGGCTGGCAGTTAAAGCTCAGTTAAACCTTTCCTTCAGAGACCTCTTAGTTTCAAAAGTTTGATTTAACAGAAGGCATTTAACAGTGGCCAAGAGGTACACAAAAAATGCTCAACATTAGTATTCAAGGAGATATAAATTTAAGCTACAATGAGTGGCATCCTTATACCTGCTAGAATGGCCATTATCAAAATGATAACAAGAGGTGGGCATGGTGGCACACTCCTGTAATCCCAGCACTCAGGAGGCTGAGGCAGGAGGATTGCTGTGAGTTTGAAGCCAGCCTGGGCTACATAGTGAGTTCCAGGTCGTCTCAAGTACAAAGTGAGACCCTCTGTCCAAAAAAAAAAATTTTTTTTTAAAAAAAAAAAGAAAAAAAAAATGATAACAAGGGTTGGCAAGGATGTGGGGAAAAGTCCTTGCAATTTGTGGGAATTCATTCATTCATTCATTCATTCATTTATTTATTTTTTGAGACAGGGTCTCACTATGGAGTTGAGACTGACCTGGAACTCACTGTGTAGCCCAGGCTGGTCTCGAACTCACAGCGATCCTCCTGCCTCAGCCTCCCAACTGCTGGGATTACAGGCGTGCACCACCAAACCCGGCCGAGTGAATTTAAATTAGAACAACCATTATGAAAAAGAGTGTGGAGGTTCCTAACAACTAAAACTTGCACCAGGGTGTGACCCACGTATCTCGCTGTTGTGTATAATTCAAATGAAAAGAAATTGATGCAAGGAATAATCAAAGAATATGGGGAATATTTTTTAAAAATTTACTACCATGAAAGCCACATTGCCATCAGTCTTCCTCAAAACACTGCCCCGTCTAAGATACACTTACCCTATCGTTGATGGCACTTTCCAAAGTAGTTCTGGAAGTCCTCTTCCGTGCCTTGGTGTTCCGATAGAAATCTAGTGAATGGGGCTGGCAGGTGCCATCCGGGGGAATGCGGGTTTGTGAGAACAGTGCGGCGTGTCCTCGTCTACCTTACTCACCAAGTCGGCACAGTATGACTTGTGGCTCTTCCCCAAGATCAAAATGATCGTGGAAGGTAAATGTTTTGAAGTGATGCAGGACATCAGGGCAGCTACAACAATGCAACTGAAGACACAAGTGTATTTGAGGGGGTTTAATGGCAGTGTGTCTTGTACTACAATAAGTTTTTTGGAAAATGTAAACACACTGTATCTTTCTGTCATACCATGCATATTGAAGAGATTTCTGTATGCCTGTGTTATTGTAGCATGTCTTTTCACAGTAGCTGAGCTGGGCATTTAGCTCAGTGGTGCTGCTGCCTGACTCACAAACACAGGTCCCGAGTTCAATTCCCTGAACCCTCCATAAAAAAGAACACAATAGCTATGATATGGAATCAACCAGGAAACGAGTGGATAAAGAAAATGTGGCATATGTACACAGTGGAATACTATGCAGCAAAAATGAAATCCCGCCATTTGTAGCATGTGGATGAACCCAGAGGATATTATGTTCAATGCCATAGGAAAGGCACAGAAAAAAAAAAAAGGCACAAAGAGACAGATACTATATGTTCTTTCACTTCTGTAGAGAATCTGAAAAGTTGAGTCAGTGGTAGAATAGTGGTTACCAGGGGCTGAGGATCCCCGAGTGGATTTGGAGGAAATGATGGTCAAAGGATATAAAATTTCAGTTAGATACACAAAATAAATTTAAGAGATAAGTTGTACAAGTGGTGACTGTAGTTAATAACATTGCATTATCTTCTTGCAAAACCATGGAGAGATGTTGAATGACCTCACTACAAAAAATAAATATATGAAATAATGTTAGTTGGCTAGATTTTAAGCATTCCATAAGTACACACATTTCAAAACATATACATGATAAATATATACTATATAATTTTTATTTGTAAAATATATTTTAAAATTTGGTTTTATGAAATGTTCAAAATTAATAGAGATGGAATTAAAGTTTTGAAGATTTGGTTAGCAAAAGAATATAAAATTCTGTAGGGGACCAGGGATCTAGCTCAGTGGTGCTGCAACTGCCTCGCATGTGCAAGGTCCCGAGTTCGATCCCTGATACCAAAAAAAAAAAGTAAAGAAAGAGGAGGCTAGAAATTTAATTTGCTGTAAAGGCCCCAGATTCTATAGAGCTTGAGCACTTTTAACATGGGCAGAGGTTAGGGATAAGGAATTCCTTTAGAAGAAAGTGCAAACTGCCAAGACAACCAGCCTAGTTACTAGATTGAGCAGGTTTTTTACCCATTCAGTTGCAGATGGGGAATGTAGCTCAGTGGCACACAGCCTGCTCAGCAAGCATAAGGTTCTGAGTTCAGTCCCCGGTACTAACAAAACAAAAACAAAAACAAAAAAGGAGAAATGCACATTGGTTTCTAAAACTAGGGATTTTTTGAGTAGGAAGATTATAGTCTTTTAGAAAATAATCTGAAATATCTAGTTCTGTGTAAGCCTTTGACAGCAGTAAGCCCTTTGGGGAGCTAAGAAGGGGGAAAAACAGTTGTGAGGAACAGAATAAGCTGGCTTTTTTTCATTAAATTTGGAAAAATAAGCAGTAGCAAGAGTCAAAATCTGTGTATATGTGTGTACTTTGATTCATGGAAGTGATACTCACATAAGTGTCACCATTTGTAAATTGTTCAGTGTTACTAGTGAACATTCAGAATGTCACACAGCCACCAGTATCTAACTCCACAGCTCTGTCATCCCAAATGGAAACCCCATGCCATTAAGCAGTGTCCCGCAGTTCCCCATCCCTGTCAGCTGCCAGTCTGTATCTGCCTCTATCAATCAGCCTGTTCTGAATACCTTTTTTTTTAATGTACTGGGGATCAAACTCAGGACCTTGTGCTGGTGAGGCAGGCACAGTGCCGCTGAGCTAAATCCCTGGGCCTGTTCTAAATATATCATGTAATCAGAACCATACTGTATTTTGTGACCCTTCTTTCACTTAGCATGCTTGTAAAGTTCACCCACATTGTAGCATGTATCAGTACGCAGTTCCTTTTTACGGCAGGATAATATTCCATTGCATAGATTTACCATGGTTTGTTCATTCATTGACGGACATTTGGGTTGTTTGTACTTTAAACTTGTAAATAATATTAATGTAGACATTTTTGTGAAGATTTTTTGTGTGTGTGGTACTGGGGATCAAACTCGCATCCTTGCCTTTTTGAGGCAGGTGGCAGAACCACTGAGCTAAATCACCGGCCCATGCATGAAAATATTTAAAGAGAGAGAGACTGTGTGTGTGTTTTGTGATGCGGGAGTTTGATTCATTCATTCTAGACAAGTGCTCTACCAATGAACTACATCCTTAGCCCCGAGTACTTTTGTTTAACCTATATACCCTGGAGTGGAATTGCTGTAGGTTTTCTGTCTAGCTTTTGAGGAACCATCAAACTGGTTTCCATAATTTATTTTTGAACCATATGTTTGTCTGAGCCTCAGAAAGATGTGAAAGCACATCTGACTCTTTTTCTCCCCATTCAGTTTATTGGTACATTTAAAACAAACGTTACAGTTACATTTATCATTGGGATCTTGTACCTTTACATGATATGTCTTGGTTGTTACTTTTTCCCCATTTCGCTGCCCTTTTCACCCACTTCACCCTTCCCTATTTACAAAGACTTTGATTCTATTTTTTCCCCTTATTTCCTTTCCCCTCCCCTTTCCACTTCCCCTTTAGCAATTTTCTTCCTATTTCACGCTATCAGTTATACCATTTGAACCCTGTTTGCACATTTAGTTTTTTTACAGTAGAGAAACTATTCGGTATTTACTCAAGTGTTTATTTCACTTCAGAGTATAGCCCCGGACCGGGATTTAAGTGGTTCCGCCACCTGCCTTGAAAGCTCAAGGACCCGAGTTCGATCCGCAGTATGAAGAAAAAGAGTAT